GACGTTCCGACGGCGACGGCGGCGCGTGAGGGGAAGGGGGCTCCGGCGTGCGGTGCGGCGAAATAATAGAAACCTCGGTTTGCTGCAGTGATTGGCCCGTGCGCCGGCTCCACCCATTCGGCCGCGGCGGTTCACGCTGCAGTATTTATATATATATATATATATATATATATATATATATATATATATATATATATATATGTGTATATATATTGTATATATATACGAGTACGTGTGCGCGTATATACCTATATTATACGATACGAATGCGGTGTGCACCGCGCGAGCGTAGTGTTAGTGAGGAGTTCGAACGGTCGGCGGCGGCGACGGGGTGCCGACCGTCTTGGCGAGGGCGGTGGGAGAGACCCTGTACATACACACACACACATATATATATATAAATAATACCGTAGTCGCGGTAACCATGGTTTTGGCACGGCCGAAGAGGACTTCATTAGGGGGATGCCGTTCAATCACGCCGCCGCCGAACCCGAAAAACCCCGGGCCGTCCGTCGAATATCACCGCCGCCGCCGCCGCATATCTCCCTATGTATATAATTATATTTTATTATGTACGTGCAGTGTATGCGGCGTATGCTCCTGATAGCGATGTCTTCCGAATTTCATACGCCGCGACAGTGTTATCAATCTGTTTTTTAAAAAAAATAAATAATATAATAGCGGTCTTTAAAAGATGCGAAAACTTTTTGGAACCATTTACGATTACTATTGTACTATCGTGCATACAATATAAATGCGTTCGATATTATATTTATTCTCTTCGTAACGAAAAACTGGAAAACTCTCGTGGTGTGTGACTATTGTTTTTAACTTCAATTGATCAAACTCGTTCATGCTGCCGTACATATATACCTATACGGGGAAAATATTCCGTAAACCGAAATGCAACGTTTCAAATCTATATTTTAACGGTTTTAAAATTATTTTTGGTTTCTATTTTCCAAAAAAAAAAAAAAAAAAAATGGTTTTCGACACCAATTAAAAATATGCTGTACATTGGACGATCTTTTAAACGAAGTTACATTAGTTTTAGCCTCCATTTTTTTTTTTTTTTTTAGTGCCTATTAATTATATGTCTACCTAGCTATTTTCAAAATCAAATTTCTTTACTTTCAGTCAGAAAAACAAAAAGAAAGTATTGTTGATGGCAGTTATTATGGTAGATATCTATGCAATTGGTACCCATACTAAAAAAAAACCCCCGAACGTATATCATTTCTTATTTGAAACAAAACCAATCCGAGTAGTCACTACAATATTAATGAACTTGTTGCATACTTAAGTTACTAAAATATGTAATTTAAAATTTGTTCGTTTTTTTTTTTTTAGCTTATATAGGTAAACGTTATACATACTTAACAAATGTCTATGAAATCGGGTTTTTTAAAATATGTACACACTTTAGGGATGAGTACATTAAAAACTCGTATATCAATCAATTATCCGTTCTCATTTTAGTTTTACCACTTTGATATTCAATCCTTATCTGACAACCAATATCAAAAACCCAGATACAAAGTTTGGAGAACAATCAAAATAATTTTTTTAGATTCTTATATTTTCAATGTTTGTCTATATAACTCCAAATTTATGTTACGAAGTAGAAAGAAACATTTTCGATATTTGAACAACGTTTTTTTTTTTTTTTTCAAAAAATACTAAAATTTGTATTCCCTGAAATACTTCAAAATATATATTAAAATTAATTCAAAGAATTTTCGGGAGGAAAACTTATTTTATACAAAAAATGTAACCACATCTTACATGTTAAATATGCTGTCTAATAATGGCGGGTAACTATGTAGAAAATGTTTTTTTTCTAATACGTATTTAATAGAATTTACAGTGCAGATTTTAAGACTATATTTTAAACAATATTAAAATAATTAAATTTATATGTTAATAAGAAGAAAAAATAAGTATAAATTGTAAAAATTATTTGTTGATTTATTTAAATTGTTGCGAATTGTTGTATAATAATAAGCGGTTATGAATATTTTGTATTGTAAAATATACATAGGAAAATGTAATTTAATTTTACTGCCGCGAACACAAATTATTATTATAAACACAATGTAACACAATTTCCGTCGTTCAATATGTCGTGCTTTAGAAAAATCGTAAATACGCCACTACGGGGTCCGTATCACTATGTATAGTTTAACGTTCTATATTTGTATGTATATATTGTGCTGTGCGTATACGTATATAATACTAACAATAAGCTGTATGCTTTTAAAATTCCCGGCTTGCGTTTTATAATATTTTATAATAATAGTTTCAAACTCTGCAGCAGATCGTTCCATAATATAGGCGTGTATATATAATAGGTACGTGAAAAATTTGCTCTATGAATATTTTACGTCGGGCAAATGTAGGTTAGGTTATACGATATACGTGTATTATATAATTTGCGATGTCGCACATCGCGCAGTCTTCATTAAAAGTTTAGATAAAAGTTTTGGAAAGTAATTTTATCTCCTTGGAAAATATTGTACGAGATAAATTAGGTCGGCACGTACGTGCCGTGTTATGGAAAAATACCTTTTGCGCTGAATTTAAATATATAGTAGTTTAGTGATGTCTATTATATAACAAGGCGGCTACATTGTATATTTTTAGGTTTTTAAACATAACTTTTGAACGCGTAATTTGCTCTAAACGTTTTCGTGCACCGAAACCGGGAACTTTGCACGCTCGAAGACTGAACAACAATGTACTCTTAATCCGGCCTCGGGTTACGCAATTTCTTCGATGTTTTACGTACAAAAATACATTTACATAATAATAATCAATCTGATCTTAATTCCTTTTGAGACTGGGCAAAGCAGCTTAACTCCTCCCTCAATATAAGTAAATGTCCCAGTTTCTCTCGAAATCGTTCTCCCTCTTCTCTCATTCCTGTTCTCTCAACGGCCCTCTTATTAACTGCGTTACCTTAATTAAGGTCTTAGGTATTTTACTCTCCCCCACTCTTTCCTTTACCAGCACCATACAAACAACATGATTGGTAAAGCCCTCGAGGAACTCGGTTTCATCAAGCGCTATGCGGCTAATTTCTCTTCTGCCTCTTGTCTTCGCGTCCTCTACATCTCCCTGGTTCGCTCCATTTTAGAGTATGGGGTCGTGATCTGGCATCTCTAGTTTTCCCGCAATGCGCGGTGAATTGAACGATTTCAAAATAGTTTCTTATCGTATGCTGCTTTCCTTTTAAAAATTCACCACCCCCAACACGACTACTCTCTCGTTCGCTCTTCTCTTTCGTTACATTCTTACATAATGGCGCCATTAATTCTCCTAACCTCATTCCTCCCATCTCCTTATTCTGTATCCCCTTTCATAATGCAATAAACCACTTTCTTTTCTTAATTCCCCATCATCGCACTTCATATTATGGCCAAAACCGTCCGCTGCATAGTTGCCACTTAAAAAGTTTGGTTTTGATCGTATTATTTTTTCTTAAATTATCTTGTGTTAACGATGTAGTTTTTATCTTAATATGGTTACTGTCACCAAAATTATTGTGTCCATCGTTTGTACTTAAAATATTGCCTGTTTAGGCTTATAAAATAAAATTCGTGTATGCAAAATATATTGTAATATAACGCGTTATATTGGTTCGATTGCCTAATGGCTAATATATATATATTATTATTTTGTATGTGAATATATTTTTTTATGTAATATTATACTTAATATTTTCGTTTGACGTGTGTTCACAGGCGAAAAACCGCACAAATGTCAAGTTTGCGGTAAAGCGTTCAGCCAATCGTCGAATCTGATTACGCACAGCCGGAAGCACACGGGATACAAACCGTTCGCGTGCGATTTGTGCGGCCGAGCCTTTCAGCGCAAAGTCGACCTCCGCCGACACAAGGAAACGCAACACACCGATTACCGGTCCGGAAGTCTTACGTAAGCAGTCCCAAAAAAATCGCATCACCACCATACCCGAAATCGCCATCTTATAATAATATATTCACGACGTGTGTTGGTATCAATTATAAATACCATGTATAGATACTTAACACACGTTCATTTTCATTTTTAATCGTATTGCGTATAATGTACATTTACACATGAGTTTTCTCGGTCAGTTTTTATTTCTTATAATATTATTATCTTATATGCCGGAATCGAAAAATATAACAAAAAAAAAAAAAAAAAAAAAAAAACAAAAAAAAAAAAAATATCGAGATAATGTGAAAACTACGTTTTCTCCCCATTATTCGCATTCTTATATTTACGTTTGATCCTCGTATTATTATAATACTGAATAAACGATATGGTGACGGGATAACAATAGAATTTGCTCATGGTTTTTATCTAGTGCAATGTTATTGTCATCATCACCGTACCGTAATATTTATTGCTGCAGCATTGTGGCTGCACCTTAACAATCGTACTTCAATACACATTTTACATTACACGTTACAAGGGTATCAAGCATGACATTTGTCGTGTTCCTAAAAACGATCAACAATATTTGATTAAGTTTTGAATTTATTTTATCAATTTATTATAACACTTATATTTAATGTTTTGGGTTTTGGAGCCATTTCGTCCAACACTTACTACACAATATACGCATAATTTAAAGGTGCACGGAGAGGAGTTAACGGCCGTCTCAAACTACTTCCCCAAATTGTTGACCCCTGATATTTTTATAATTTTATTAACTTCTCACGATCTTATAAAAATGATACACCACGAAATAACTCAACTGAGTTTGATTTGCAGTAGGTACCGAAAATTCCGCTGCTATAATCATCCATTGCATTCAAATTGTGCAATGATATTCTGTATCAAACTTGATTAATATTTTTAAAAATGATATTACATTAAAAAGATAATTTTCCACTTAAATGATAGTAACATACTTAATAAACATAATGAGTCGTAATTTTTTTTTTTTGTGTGTTTTTCCCTTTATATTATATTAATAAATTATAGAAGATTTGTATTATATTCCATGTATTAAATTAATTATTTATTTAAATTTATTTCATGAACAAGTGAGTAAAAGTTCATACCATGCTTTCAGTTTTTATACGTAATTAAAAATAATTTTATTTAGCCTCCTCCCACCAAAAAAAAAAAAATAATAATAAAAATCTTGGGTGTATTCTTGACATTAAAACTTCATTGGTCGTATGTCACCAATACATATTAAGCTTGTTCTAAATCGCAAAAATAAAATCAACAAAAATTTCATTGGTATATTTCAGTAGAGAAAAAACAGCTCAAGGAGTTGATTTGCCCCATATTACCCCCCTGTAAATACGCCACTGACCTGTTATAAATAAATATATATATATATACTATAGTAAAGATAATAGAAAAAAGGTATGTGAAATTCGATTGAGAAAACCGAGTTTAAAAAAAAAAAAATTATAAAAAAAATTCACTCTGTGCATATTATTATATTAAAATATTATAAAATAATAAATTATAATGTCGTATAATATAAGGTTTTTTATTGTTTTCTTCGGGTTATTATTTTTATTTTGTTTTTTGTTTACTCATACATTGTATTGTTTAACGTCTTTTCGTCGTTATTTTTCCATCCTTAAATAATGACAAATTATCATTATAATAATTATTATTATTATTATTATTATTATTATTATTATTATTATTATTATAAATATTATTATTATCATTATTATTATTATTATTATTATCATTATTATTATTATTATTATCATTACTATACTAAACGCCATGTTAAAAATATTATAATTTATTGGCTCGATTTTCAGTCACAATATAACAATATTTTAATTTTAATACATATTTATCATAATTATTATTAATACTTCTTTATGATATTCTGTATACATTTCTATATTAACTACATGATGATATACGATAACATAATATTTAGTGTTAAATATATTATAATAATATTATGAACGTGCTTTTAATATTAATAATATTTTCAAAAAAATAGCTGTGTTCTCGTTTTTGAATTGTTTTATTATTATTATTATTATTATTATTTATTTACGTATTAATTATTATTTTTTTTTTATTTTTACCCTAAATAGTTACCTGTCTAGCTTTATCGTATATAATCATTTTAAAAAAATAATATATTGTCAAAACTAGGTATATAATATTATGATAAATATATTATGTATTTCGTTTGATTGTATATTTACGTATATTATATATTATATTATAATAATAAACCATTGTCGGCGACTTATTGTTTTGTTGAATAAACAGACACATGTCGCCATCATTTTAACACAAATCATAATGCATTTTTGGTTTTATAAGAGATAAGTATATTTGTATCTTTCATCTTATCTTGATAAATGAAAAATAATTTATCTGAAATGAATAATTAAACTATCTAGATTAATCTATCTAAATAAATCTTTTTAAGTCGTAATTTATATCAAGGGCATGAGGGAAGAAGGAAAGTAGTCAATTTTTTCTATTGCTGCATGGAATACATTCTTTGTTTATGCAGTATATCTAAATAATATTTTAGCTTCGACATTATCCAACTGAAATATTTTTTCGTTTAATGGAACTCAATATTCGATAATAGTCTCAAAACACCGTCTAATGATATTACTATTACCTCAAAATTTCCAAAAAATAACCTACTACCCTTCTTCTTCTGTGCTCTTCATATATGTATTAGAAATAATAGATTCAATATTTAATTTATATTATTATGATCAAATAAATAAATGATTAAGTTACATCAACCACACAAACTTTTTGATATCTATATATGTATACACTTCTACTACGTTAAGCCCTTAGTTTTATGGTAGATAATAAACAAAATTATCTTTATTTGTATCTAGATAAAAAAAATGTCTGATTATTTATCGTTATCTAGAAATTTTAAAGTGTATTTTCGCTTAACACTGTGGATAATAAGTGTTATAAACGATAAAGAGTTTTAAAAAACAGATACCACTTACGGGTTGACCATTAACTATTGTAGGTGGTAAGTTAGATAGAATAAATAGTGTAATTTGCAAATGTATATGAGTACTGTATATCCAACGAAAAATCATTGAAAACGAAAAACGAATTCGAGCGGAAATTGGTCAAACATTTAATCGATTGTTTTACAAATTTTCCGATTTTTTCTAGGTTTTAAAATAATTATTAAGAAAAGTAAAAGTAAATCCCCTTCAATGCACTAATGGGAAAAATTCTCTACTAAGAAATCACCCTTTCGACTTTGACGATTAGAGCTAGATCTCCGGTCGAAAAGTTTTTACTCACCATAAAAAGCAGATATGTATTGCAGGTTAGTAAAACCTGAAATATATTTCAGGTTTCACTTACAATCCAAAAAAAACCTCCGTGAGCAGCAGAGCTCCGTGACTCGAGTCGATTTTTCCCCGCCGATATTTTGTGTAATAGAAATATTCTTCGATAAAATAAAAATCTAAAACTATAATAGTACAAACAATTTTAAAGTTTGATCATAAAAAATGTAGAGGTTGGGTTTCGAAAATGTAATCCCTAAAAAGCCAATCATTGATACTAACGCCATACATATAAAAAATATCCTCCTGGCTTAATTTGGGAAATTTTTTCGAGGTGTACAAAACTAAATAAACACCCTCCACTTTGAATTTAACCGTGGTTAAATTCATTTTGAAATTAAACCCAACTTTTATCACTTATTCAATCTGCCTACAAAACAGCTATAATTCCTGAGTTTGAGCTCATTTGACTAAGAGGAAGCCACCGGTAAACATGTCTATAAGTAGCGAAGAAATTATGTACCCGTATGACTAATGATGGACACACTACAGTGAATAGAAAAACAATACAAAACTGCAATGAAGATAAAAAGTATTATGTAGTATTCTAAATGGTATTACTGAGCGAGAAAAAACGAACACAGCAAATTAAGGAAGGTACTAATATAGGAAAGGTTGGTGAAACACAAGAAAAATTGGTCCCCAAAATTTGTAGACCGCCTAAGAAAATATCCTTTATAAAAAGAAATGTCTTAAAAACGGTAGGGAACTAATCAAATACGCTCAAATATTAATTTTATTTATTGGCGAAATGTTATTATAATTTTTATAATTATAGGTTTTAGATTCTGTCGATTAGTATTATCATTGTAAAGTTGGTTGAATTAAATACAGTCAAGTATTCTCTACAAAACATCGCTGAAATATTTTCGAAATTAGAATTTATCACTACAAATGATAAAATTATGTATATTGAGACGGATTCTTCCTTCAGCGCACTAGCGCAAAGGTAATTTAACGTATTTAAGTAAATATTCATACACACATTTAAATAATAAATATTATGGTAACGTTTAAGACGTTTTGATAACAAGCGAATATAATTTCGACATTATATTATAAAAGTTTAAAACTCAGATCGGAGGCGTCGGGAAGAGTAACACATTTCATATTTAAATTACATTTTTAAAATGAAACGTTTATAACTCTTTCCCGTTCCTCCGGTCTAAACTTTCAATTGTTATACGATATATGAACGGTAAATCCGATATCAAAGTAGAGCCTATCAAAGTGTATAGACGAATATCTTCTTTTAGAATCTGTGTTCAAAAATAGGGGGGGGGGAGTGATTGAAAATCTAAAGAATATAATTTACGCTATACACTGTACGAGTATACTCATTTCAGGTATAAGAAATAGTGATAATCAATTGAAAATATTGTTTAAATAAATTTTAAACCATTACATAGTTATTTAAAAAAAAAAAAAGGAACAGAAATCAAATTCACTTAAAATTTTTCGAGAAAATCGCTGGTTCGTGAAAAGTTGATCAATGTGTATTACTGGAGTAATTTTTCTCGCCGAAAGTTGACCGTTTGTTATAATATATAATTATTGTTTTCGCATTTTTTCCATTAGGAACGTTTTATTTTTTAAATACCCACCTCGGCGGAATTTAGGTAGGTACCTATATTATGTATATTATAAAAATGAAAACATTCGAGACGGCGCTGTGTAGTGTAGCCGTTCGCGTCCCGAGAGAGACACGAACGTTTATGCGAAGGAAAAAAAAATACCACCGTTTTTACTCTGAAACTAAAAAGGTAAACGCTATTTTAAAACGGAAACGCGCGCGCGGTATCGCGCAATACCTGTGCAATAACAGTAATAATAATATCCGTCCGTGGAGAGACGATGTCCGAGGACGTGCGATATTCCGAAAAAAAAAAAAACAACTTTGCGTATAAAAACGCGAACGAATTGCATAAATTCTTGATTATATACGGCATAATATGAGGAGGCACGTTCAAACGAATATAATATCGTATATATACGACGTCGATACGAAAACCGTACGAATATTTTATGATTATTATTATTATTATTATTATTATTATTATTTTTTTTTTTTTAATAAACTCGAACCCGTCGAATATAATACGTCCACATATAAATATATATATATTTTTTTATATCCTTTTTATTAGGCGCGCAGTGTGCGTGCGCGTGTTCGCGCGCGTACACCCGGGGATTTTATCCGCGCCGCCGACGCCTTTTCAATCATTTTATATTTTTCCGCTATAAACGATAAAGCGGCGGTGGACGGTAGGACAACAGGGGGCGGAGAGGGGGAGGTTGGTGGGGCGTACATATATACGAATATTATGCGAAGGATAAAGGAACGCGGGCGCGCGGGAATACGTGCAGAAGGTTTTCGGGACGTCGAGAGGTTTTCCTCCGGTTTTTTTTTTTTTTTTTTTCCCCCGTCCGTCCGTTTCTCGCTTTTGAATGTCGAACGATCTTTGCTGACATATTTTTTCCCCCCACCCGTTCCCCGACCCCCTTATATTATTCTCTCTGCCTCCCGATCATCCCTCGTCGCGCCTCCGTCGTCATCGCGGACTCGTGTGTGTGTGTGTGTGTGTGTGTGTGTGTGTGTATATATATATATATATATGTGTGTGTGTATGTATTTTGCTCGATTTCGCTTCGGCGCGCGGCAGACGCGAGGGCCGCGGACAATCCCGCAGAGAAACGGTTTTCGCTCTCTCTCTCTCTCTCTCTCTCTCTCTTTCTCTCTCTCACTCACTCCCCGCATAAATACATATACACGAATATTACCTACACACACACACACACACATATAAATATATATCATACGCGTATATAATGTAGGTGTATGCGCGGGATGAATTCGAAATCAATAACCGACAATAACCCCGCGCGTTTACCGTATATAGAATATTATATAGTCACGGTCGTTGTTCCCGGCGAGTAGCTGTTTCCGCGCCGTTTCGACCGTTTCCGCCCGCGATTGGAAGACCCGATTGTCGCGACGCGACACGATATTCCGGGGTGTATGACTGGGGGGGGGATAGAGGGAGGGGCCGTCAAAAACGTTGAACGACCGAACCTTGAAAGGTAAAATCTTGAACAGCGAATTCCCGAATCGAAAATATTTGGCCGGATTTATTATTTTTAATCACTATTAACTATTATTTGTTCAAGATTTTGTCGTTCAAATGTTTT